CCAAAGACACAAGGAAAGTATTAGCCCAAGAGACAGAAAGGGCCACATAAACCAGACACTTCATCGGCCTGAGACCAGAAGAACTAGATGGTGCCTGGCTACCACCAGTGACCGCCCTGACAGGGAACACAACACAGAGTCTTGGATGGAGCAGGAGAAAGGTGGGGTGCCGAATTCAAATTCTAATAAAAAGACCAGACTTAACGGTCTGACTGAGACTGGAGGAACCCCAGAAAGCAAGGCCGCCGGACTCTCTGTCAGCCCAGAACAAAAACAATTTCCGAGGCCAACTCTTCAGACAATGACTGGACTGGACTGTGGGACATAAAATGATACTCGTGAAGAGTGTGCTTCTTAGCTCAAGTAAATACATGAGACTAAACGGGCAGCTTCTGTCCAGAGGTGAGATGAGAAGGCAGAGAGGGTCAGGAGCTGGCTGAATGATCATGGGAAATCAGGGGTGGAAAGGAGGACTGTGATATCACAGTATAGGGAGAGCAATTAGGGTCACATAACAATGTATGTATACATTTTTGTATAAGAGACTAACTTGAAATGTAAATTTTCACTTGAACTACAACAATAATAAAAAAAGAAATGGAAAGAAAAAAAATCTCAATGGTTCTGCTGAAGAGGGTGTTGGTAAACTGAGAATAAGACAAGATCTGAGGAAATATCCTATAAAACAGCACAGGCAGAGAGATGTGATGCACTTAAGGGAAGCTGTGACTCGGAGGACGAAATGAGGAGATGCCACAAACTTCTACAGGTGTCTGAGAAAAACAGAACTGAAAGACCAGGAAGAGGCAAAATACGAGGAGACATCAGCCAACCAAGAGCCCTGGTGGCACAGTGGTTGAGTGCTTTACTGCTAACTGAAAGGTTGGCAGTTTTGAACCCGCTCAGCATCTCCATGAGAAGAAGACCTGGTGATCTGCTCCTGTAAAGATGACAGCCTAGAAAACCCTATGGGACAGTTCTACTTTGTCACATGGGGTTGCTATGAGTCAGAATTGACTCGACGGCACCCAAAAACAACAATATTGGCCAAACACTGTGAGGACCAGGAGTAGCATGAGTTCTCTGGCTGAGGAGACACACTGACCAAATCCTTAACCGGAAAAGGGAACATAACTCTAAACATGAACACCAGGAATCTGTTGCCCGTGGCAGACGCAAAGCAAATCACGCAAAAAAGACTAGAGAAAAAAAGACGTATTATCTCTCGAGGGACAACAATCAGATAAGATGGTAGGCTTCTCCTCAGTATATTAGAGGCCAGGGAAAGATGGAGTCATGTTTTCAAAAGGGTTAGAAAAAAATATGATAAATTATCACTTAATGAAGAAAAAAATAGAGTTTTTTTTTTTTTTCATACAAAAACTGAGCAAGTATATTATTCACCGTCTCTTGTGGAAAGGGTTATAAAAAGAAGTGCTTTAATAAAATGAAGCTGAGTTCTGGGGAAAGGAATGATATTCAGGAAGAATGAAGAAGAGAAATTTCTAAACAACAAGAAGAATAATGAGAGCAATCTCAACGAATCTGAACACTAAAATTTAGAAAAATCTAAACAATACTAGCATGGAAGGTGAGAATGGATGAGCAGACTTAGAGCGTGGTCCCAGTATTATTCACCACGAGGACGGAGACATTAACATGCTTTGTTAGGTCAGGTCAACATGTTACATGTTTAAGGTAGTCTTTAAAAGAACAGACTAGAATATAGAACTTTCAAGGCACGGGGTCGGGGGAATAGAAAGGAATAAATCAACCCCACTGATCCAAGAGAAGAGGAGACAGGAAAGCTGAACAGAAGCAAATAAGATGCATGATGGATTAAAAACAAAACAGAACAAAATCAGGCTGGAGAAGTAATTATAATACACATAAATATGATATACTTGTCAGGTGGAAGACAGAAATTTTTGGATCAGAGAAAAATAACGTACGGCCACGTGTTTACCAGAGACACATCAGACACCTACACAATGACAAGGAAGTATTGAAAGCAAAGAGACGGAGAAAGAGACTCTGGGCAGACAGCAACCTAATGATAGCTGCTGGGTTGTATTGATATTAGAGAAAATAGACCAGGGGAAAACCACTCGTGTGGGCTAGAAATCTTCTATTAGCTGGGTGTGTGACCTACTCTTCCTTCCCCAGGTAGAAGTGATTTTTGTGCTTTCATCTCTGCCTGGGCAAGGCTGGCAGGTGGCCTCCCATTACCTCTACTAGACAAAGCACAAGGTAACAACATGGACAGGAAATGTTCTTCTGACGTTTTCTAGAGTTTTCATTTGCTGTATGTGGCATACTTGTCCCAAAAAATGCTTTGTGGATATACGTGTGGCATTTTTGGTTGGAGTTACTCCCTTGTATTTGGTATTAAGATAGAAGTCCACCTGGGGGAGCTTTACATATTTAGACCTGGCAGTAGTGTGCATTTACCACTGCTACTACCAGAGTCCTGGTGGCACAGTGGTAAAGCGCTCGGCTGCTAGCCAAAAGGTTGGCGGTTTGAACCCACCTAGCAGCTATCCTTCAAGATAGCTTAAACAGTAAAATAAACCCTATTATCAGAATGAGACTGTCATGGATTGAATTATATCCCCCCAAAAATGTGTGTATCAACTTGGCTGGGTCATGATTCCCAGTATCATATGATTGTGTAATCTGATGTGATTTCCTTATGTGTTGTAATTTCCATCACTATGATCTAATAAAATGGATTAGTGACAGTTATACTGATGAGGTTTACCAGATTAGACAGTGTCTTAAGCCAATCTCTTCTGAGATATAAAAGAGAGAAGTGAGCAGAGACACATGGGAACCTCACACCACGAAGAAAGTAGTGCTGGGAGCAGAGCGCGTCCTTTGGACCTGAGGTTCCTGTGCTGAGATGCTCCCAGACCAAGGGAAGACTGATGCATCACAAGGACCTTCCTCCAGAGCCAATGGAGACAGAAAGCGTTCCCCTGGAACTGATGCCCTGAATTTGGACTTTTAGCCTACTGGACTGTGAGAGAATAAACTTCTCTTTGTTAAAGCCATCCACTCGTGGTCTCTCTGTTAGAGCAGCACCAGAAGACTAAGACAGAGACCCACAGCAAAACCACCGCCGAGAATTCCTTGCAGAATTTGACAAGGATTAAATCTGGACCAAGGATTACAGCTGGCCACTTGCGGGAGACTCCTTCATGGATCATATTGATTCAAGCTTAGAAAGACCAGAAGCCTTCACATTTATTCTTCCTGACAAATCTGGCAAAACACAGGCTTCTTGTGAGGAGGAGTTAGACACAGTTCATCTGAAGCCTGGAAATTTTCTCTTTGCAAGACCACAGCGCTACGACATTTTTAGGGGATTTAAAAAACTCGAGATGTGAAGTGTGCATTCAGTACATTAGAAACTAAGTTTCATTCTCCGAAGAGTTTTCAATCCAATTTTAAATTCTTAAACTAGTATATCAAATGATGCATTGCACAGGGCAAATCTGCTGCAAAAGACCTCTTTAAAGTGTTCAAAAGCAAACATGTCACTTTGAGTACCAAGTTACACCTGGCCAAGCCATGGTGTTTTCAATGGCCTCATATGCATGTGAAAGCTGGTTGATGAATAAGGAAGGCCGAAGAAGAATTGACGCCTTTGAATTGTGGTGTTGGTGAAGAATATTGAATATACCATGGACTGCCAAAAGAACGAACAAATCTGGCTTGGAAGAAGTATAGCCAGAATGCTCCTTAGAAGGGAGGATGGTGATACTTCGTCTCACATATTTTGGACAGGTTATCAGGAGGGACCAGTCCCTGGAGAAGGACACCATGCTTGGTAAAGTAGAGGGTCAGCGAAAAAGAGGAAGACCCTCAATGAGATGGGCTGACACAGTGGCTGCAACAATGGGCTCAAACGTAACGACTGTGAGGATGGCGCAGGACCGGGCAGTGTCTCCTTCTGTTGTACATGGGGTCGCTGTGAGTTGAAACTGACTCGACAGCACCTAACAACAACTCTTGTATACTAAGCAAAATCCACAGAAGTTTGTGAAGGTAGGAACAGAAAGCACAGCATGCAGGGCCAAGAGGCAGAGGCATGCCTGGGGATCTGAACCCTTGATGGCCAGAAGATTTCAACGATCAGAGCGGGACACAGTGGAGAGGCTGGGCTGTAGGCCTACTGCTTTTCAGAGCCTTTGAGGACAGGGAGAAGGTTTAAAGAGACCGCACGGCACCGAAAAGGGCTTCGTGCTTGGTGAAGGAGGAGACCAACAGAAATGAGGGAAACCTTCAACAAGACGGACTGACACGCCGGCCTTACCGATGGACTCAGACACGCCAAGATCATGACGATGGCGCAGGGCTAGGCAACATTTTGTTCTGTCATACATGAGGTCGCCGTGAGTCGGAGCCAACTGGACAACTGTATCCCACGTTAGCTTTCTCAGCATACTCTCATGCAGAGCAGCCAGCTCACAGGACTTGCTCTGGACTCCGAAATAAGCTTAGATGTAATTCTTATGTCTAGACCCAGCATCTAAGCCATAAGAGCTTACCATGTTTGGGTAAAGTTAAAACACCAATAAAAATACTTTTAGATTTGCTATTTTCAAATGTTCCAAAATTTTATAGCTTGAAAAAGTGTGTAAAACATGCATTTGGCTTAAATTTTAAATCCCCTGTACACCAAGAGCCTCCTATAACATTTGCCCTCGTTCCTACAAATACTCCAAACACTTAGAGATGACACAAATATAAACACGACTTCACGGTATAACATCCAACATTTAAAATGATTTCCAAATGAAAGTCCTGGCTGTATATGAGCTGCCTCAGTTTACATTCTGAGCTGTTAACATGAAGGGAACATGTTTCTTTCCTGGGCTCTGTATCGCCTGAAACACGAAATCAACAAGCTGACTGTTTTGGAAAATTTGAAGCAAGACACCAGCTTTCTTCAAATGAACTCACTTTCAAAGAAGTTCCAATCCTGAAGTACCTACCAGAAGCTGCCCAGCGAAGCAGACAAACAGGATGAAGGTGAGCGAGAGAAACGCAGCTCCAAAGGAAATTCCAAGGACGGTCGTTCTGCCAGGAAACAGAAAGGAACAGATTAGTGTGGGGATAGTTCCTATGATTCTGGAAATACTGGTTTTAGCTGCCATTGACTCAGCCCTGACTCACGGCGATCCCATGCACAACGGATCAAAACGCTGCCCCGTCAGTTATGGATCCACCGTTGTGATCCAGAGGGTTTTCACTGGCTGATTTTCAGAAGTAGATCTCCAGGCCTTTCTTCCTCATCTGTCTTAGGCTGGAAGCTCCACTGAAACCTGTTCAGCAGCATAGCAACATAAAAGCTTCCACTGACAGACGGGTGGTGGCTGCACAGGAGGTGCATTGGCCAGGAATCCAACCTGGGTCTCTCGCATGGAGAAATCTGTCAGTGAAGCCCCGATGACCCTACCATTGCAGCATACCATCTCATCAATGCTGGCTTGATCCAGCTTTGAAGCCCTGGCTAGAGGCTGGTCCATTCCCTTCCTGAGCAGAAGATTAGGTCCACTCTCCAACCACTCCCCTTATTGGGCTCTCACACTTCTGGACCACTATGCACCCACCCTAATTGCTCCGGGGCCAGGTACCCAACAACCAGGGACAGGCCCTATGCCCCAGAGCTTGCAGAATTATTCAAAATGTCCCATCTCCAGGAATCCCGCGCAGCCCAGCTAACCCTCCCTGCTTGCGGAACGCGTCTCCTGCATTCCTGCTGGCTGTCACACTGTCCCCAGGCTACACCTCCTGACTGGCCTTGTGCCACAGCATGCTGTGCTCTCCCCAGGGAACAGCGAGTATAACAAAACATATAAAAATGTCGCCGTCTCTCCCTTGATCTATGTCTGCTTTACCATATCTCCGCCAAGCCAACGGGATTAAAACACTCATTAACCAGACCCATAAGAAACGGATGTTCCAATCAGCACTTGAGTCCACCCCACCAACAGTATGGCCGTGTGGAGGCCTGGAGTTTACTCATCTTCTAGGCACGATTCGGAGCCCTGGGGGCGCAGTGGTTAACAGCTCATCTGCTAACCAAAAAGGTGGCAGTTTGAATCCACCAGCCACTCCTTGGAAACCCTCTGGGGCAGTTCTACTCTGTTCTATAGGGTCGCTATGAGTTGGAATTGACTCGACGGCAACGGGTTTTGTGATTTTTAGGCGCGATTCACAGCGCTCTCAAATACCTGGCCAGGTGATAACGTGTGTCAACATTTTACGAGCAACGATTAGGCTCTGCTAAGAGAGTGGAGAGCCGGCCCTCCACATCTGCAGGCTCCACATCCACGAATTCAACCAACCGCAGGTCAAAAATATTCGGAAAAAAAAAAAAAAGTTGAAAAAAAACTTGGATTTTCTGTACGCTGAACGCCCACGAATGAAGTGGTGTGGAGGGTCCCCGCTTAGCCCCCATCACCTCACAGATCCTCAGTCTCTCTGGCACTCATTGTTTGATCAGTGTTTAGCTCAAGTCTTGTCATTATTCCCTAAACAATACAGTATAACTACTCCTTACATAGCACACACAATGTACTAGGTTCCATAGGAAATCTAGAGATGATTTAAAGTATACAGGAGGATGGGCGTAGGTTATACGCAAATACTACGCCATTGTATAAAACGGATTTGAGCATCTGAGGATTTTGGTATCCACGGGTCTTGGAACCAAGCCCTCACGGATACCGAGGGACGACTGTATACCACACCGGATACACCTCGAGGGTTGGATCAGCTCATCCGCCAGCCTTCCGGAAGTCACTGGAGTCCTGATTCTGGCCACAACCTCTGCCCAACACATCTTCTCCGAGTCTGCTGCTTGGACCACGGGGTGGGTCCCTGAGTGGGGCAGAGTGGAGGGGAGAGCAGCACGTATGCGGTCCACTCTGAGAGGTACGGAGGGCCCTTGGCATTCCGACTGAGACTCTGAGGGCCACAGCGACTCATGTGCTGAAGTCTTGTTTCTCACCTTCTCGTCCATTTTCATAAGACAGTTCTGACCGGTTTGCTTGGAGTCTATTCTCTCATAGTTTGTCTCGGTGTCAAGCGATGCCAGCTTCATAAAGATGAGTTTGAGAACACTGTGTCTTTCTCTCAGGTCTGGAACTGTTTAAATAACAACTGAATATTTCTTGTTGAAAACGAAAGTTCTCACAACTGGACTGATAACCATCATGGTAAATGAAGAAGAAACTCAGGTTGTCAAGGATTTCATTCTACTTGGATCCACAATCAACGTCCATGGAAGCAGCAGTCAAGAAATCAAACAACGTATTGTGTTGGGCCAATCTGCTGCAAAAGACCTCTTTAAAGTTTTAAAAAGCAAAAATGTCACTTTGATAACTAATTTGTGTCTGACCCAAGCTACTGTCTTCTCAATCACCTCAGATGCCTGTGACAACTCAACAATGAGAAAGCCAGACAGATGGAGAATTGATGCATTTGAACTGTGGTGTTGGTGAAGAATATTGAATATACCATGACTGCCAGAAAAATGAACAAATCAGTCTTCGAAGAAACACAACCAGAATGTTCATTAGAAGCAAGAATGGCAGACTTCTTCTTGCTTACTTTGGACACATCATCAGGAAAGATCAATTGCTAGAAAAGGACATCATGGGTGGAAAAGTAGAAGGTCAGAGAAAATATGGGAAACCGTCAACACAGTAGCTGTAACAATGGGCTAAAACATGTCACGGATCATGAAGACGGCACAGGACCAGCGAACACGTAGTTCTGTTGTACGTACGGCCGCCATAAATCGGGGCCAACTCGACAGCAACTAACAACTCTGTGCCACATACGGTTCAGGGCTTTAACGTATAGTTCACTTAACCCTCACAAAAATCCTATATGGCAGTTACTATTATTACCTCAAGGGGCTCTGGGGAGAAATCGTTAACTGCCTGGCTGCTAACTGAAAGGTCGGTGGTTCAAACACACAAGTGGTTCTGCAGGAGAAAGACCTGGCGATCTGCTTCTGTAAAGATTACAGTCTTGGAAACCCTATGAGGCAGTTCTACTCTATCCTATAGGGTCACTATGAGTTGGAATTGAATCGACTCGATGGCAACGGGTTTTGGTTTATTATCACCTCGTTGTATCAGACAGAATCTGAGGTCTGGAGAAGTTGAGAAACTCGCCTCAAGATGAGAGCTATTCAGTGGTGGAGTTGGGATTTGTAGCCATGAAATTGTTTTCCCGACCCAGGTTCTGTTTCTAGGGGTAGACAACCTACACTTCTGCCATGTTTACTGCTTCTACTTGATGGTTAACTTTGACAATTTTCCTAGAAATTATCCATTTTGTTTAGATTTTCAAATGTTAAAATCATTTCCACATAGTATTCTCTTATAATTTAAAAAAGCATCCATATCTGAAATAATTTCTTCCTGTTCTTAATGTTATTTTCCTCTAGATCAGATTTCTGAAGTTTTGCATGTTTTGTTGATCTCGAAAAATAAGTGTTTGTTTTCATTATTAAAGTCTGTGCTTTCCGTTCATTTTCTATGTTATTAACTTCTGATATAATTTTTAAAAAACTCCTTCCTTCAACTTTATTTAGGTCGATACTGTTCTTTTTCTTGATTGTCATTTATTGCCAATCTAAGGATATAAATCTTCCTATAACTACTACTCTGGCCAAATCCCACAGCTTTTGATTTATAACTACTCATTGTCATTCGTTTCTAAAAAGCCTATAATTTCAATTTTTATTTCCTCTAACACAAGAGTCTTTCAGAAGTGTGATTTTCTTTTCCTTTTTTTCTTTTTATTGTACTTCAAGTGAAGGCTTACAGAACAAATAGTTTCTCATGAAACAGTAGTACACATATAGTTTTATGACATTGGTTAACAACCCCATGACATGTCAACCCTCTCCCTTCTCGACCTTTTTTTTTTTTTTTGGTGAAAATATACATAGCCAAAGATACACCAATTCAAAAATTTCTGCATGCACAG